AATATTTCTCTCTCTCTCTCTCTCTATATATATATATATCTAGTCAAAAATATAAAAAAAATTTATAAGCTATGCTACTCTAGTACTCCTTTGAGCCTTTTTTTTTTAAAAAAAAAAAACATCTTATCAATTCCTTTAGCTTAATGTCCAGGCCCTCTAGGGCTAGGTCCTGAAGGTAGCCTCTCAAGCAAAAATTCCAAGTTGTTCTTTGCCTTCTCATATATGGATGGCAAAGTTGCGAGACGAATTTTCCCTGAAAAATCTTGTGATAACAGTACTCTAGTGGCCTCTACATGGTTTTGAGTACTCATTATAGAAACAAAGATGACAAAAATTACTAACAGAGTAGTCATTTTGCGATAAGTCATCATTCTCAAATTGATCAAAAATTGAAGCAGAACTCGAGAAGAAGAGCGTTGCAAGTATGAGTTAATGTGCTTTTTTTCTCTCTAGGTACTCTATTTTTTTTTTTGCTAATGAATATGGATGAAGAATGTTATGCATGAACTTTGGTATTTATAGCAATTTGAATGAGGTGTCTTTTGTTTAACTTTGGTATTTGTTGAATTGAATTTTTAATTTAATAAGGGGGAACGTGTTGAATAAGTAAACAAGAAAAGGTCATGTATGTAACACATTGTATAAAATTCCAAAAAGGCCCCTGTTGTGTCTGTGTGTTTGATGTTTGGGACAGAGGGGTAATATAGGTATTTAATGTTGAAGGGTAATATAGGAAAAACAGATAAAATTCAGAAGAGTCCACAGATTTGAACGTTTGTAGTTTGACCAATTGGTCTTTGTTGACGGAGTAATAAATGAGCTTGAAATTCCATTATTACCCCTTTACGTAAGACCTAATTAGACCTTTTCTACACACAATTAAATTAAGTAGGTGTCTGACAAAAGATTCTAAATATTTTTACCTTCATTTGATTTGAAATTTATGGATCGAAAATTGAAGATGTAGTTATGTTTTATAGTATTGGGAAAGAATATTTGAAATAATATTTATGTTTGATGTACTTAAATATAAATTTAAAAGTGAAAAATGATTATTGGAAAATACGTTATAAGTTGTTTTCCAACAACAACATATCTAATGAAATAATATAATGTACAAAGACTTTTTACTATTTCGTGGAGGTAGAGAGATTGTTTTAGAAAAATTCTCGGCTCGAGTGCATCAAATTCAAGTAACGGAGAAAACATTTAATTAGAAAAGCAGTGTAAGGTATATACAAGGAAGAAACAATAATAACAACAAAATAGTGTGATAATCGAATACAATTAATAACATATGACAAGAACTATAAGGGTATGACTAGTACTACTATAGACACTAACAAGCTAAACTCACTTTAACCCTACTAAGCGCTTCTACCCTAGCTAATACACAACCTCCACTCCTTTCTATCAAGAATCATGTCTTCGGTAATATGAAGTTGTGTCATGTCTTGTCTAATCACCTATTTTCAATACTTTTGAAATACAACTTCAAGTTAAATTTAGAATTTTTATGGTAAAACACAAACTTTTAAATACGATAAAAAATTATATCAAGAAAATGAACAATTTACCCGAATCTAGAGGATGTGAGAGTGTTCACCCGAATTTCTTTGACAAAAAGATATATAGTATATATAAGGTTTATTTTTTTTGTGTGAATCTGCTAAACACGAGACTCGAAGTTGGCTCAATGATTTATGGAGAATTCAAAATCACTTCTAGAAAACAAGAAATTAGTAACAAATAAATTTTCATGGCTAAACAAAAAAATCCCATTTAGATACAGATTATCAACAGATTTTAAAATAATTCAATTAGCTAGGAGTTTTTTAGCAACGAATTACCTAAGTGTTACAGAAAAATTTCGTAGCTAATTCCATTTTCTTATAATTCAGTCAGAGATTCTAAATTCAAATTATAGCAAATTCGTACACTGGTCCTAATTGTGTTGATGTTCAATTAGGTACAGTTCTAAAATATTTTGGTTTAATATTGGATTTCTTAAAATTCTACTACAGTCTACATTGATATAAGCTAATTAATTTTGATATGATTTTATTTTTTCTTTCCAATTTTGATTTATAAATTCAGTTTGTTTGATTTGGATATAGAATTATAATTTTCCTTTTTATATCTTTAAAGAAACTAAAATAGTAGTAATTACCTTGAATCTTACTATATATATATATATATATATATTAAAAAAAATCATCTTTGGTCAATATTTCGTGGTTGTTGCTCAATTGTCTATGCCTATAATATACAACAAATATTATGACTATTCCATTACCTTTGTCAATAAAATGGTACCATCTTGACTAAGATTATTAAACGAATACATTAATCAACAAAATAAGCCCAACGTTGTTCACATTTAGGGTGTGTAGTGCGAACGAAAATATTTCTTGAAAAAATAAATAGCTTCCTACTTAGTTTTTAATATTTGATAAGTAAAGAAATATATTCTCAACAAAATATACATGTAATTTAGCAAAATTATGACAGGAGTGAGAAGGTTAAGGATTGGGAGTTGGGAGAGTTCGGCGGATGGGGAAGAGATAATATGAACTTATAATGTCACTCATAAAATTTATTTTTCCTTACTTTCACTAGGAAAGTTATTCGTGATATCCTTATAATATTCATATTCTGACCTTTGATAAAATGACTTTATTTCATAATTTATCTTGCTTCAATATTGCTAGATTCTAGCATGTCTTGGGTCATTGGTGCCTTGTTCCAAATTCTCAAATTTATAAGATTCAATCCTCCAATGGCTCTCTTTGTGATGACATTTGTTCCTAACCAAATATAGCTTTTACATTGTGTCTCAATTGATTTCATAACTTTGGCAGGTATATATAATGAAGAGTTGTGACCAATAAACTTATACCTCAAAAATCATTGTTTTAACAAGTTGGGCCTGTCCAACATAAGTCAACTTTTTTAGTTGTCCATTGATGAATACTTGGCACTATTTTGGATATTAGAAGTTTATCATTCTAATATACTAAGATTTTTGATAGATAAGAGGATACCAAGAAGGATGTACTAATACCACCACCTATTAGGTCTGACGAGTAATTCACATAGCTATATTCCTAATCATCTGGTCTATGCATACATCGCTCTCTCTAGGAGATTGGTTGCTTATCCTAGATATCTGAATGACAATTCTCTATAACTATAGCCTAAATTCTCTCTTGTAAGCTCTAACTAGCTCATTAGTAAATATAACATTATCAGTTTACTTTCTTGCATGACACAAATTCAGATTCAGTCTCAAAGAACACTAAACTTACCACCTTATTTAGGGCTGGGCATAATATGGTTAAAACCGAAAAAACCGACCGAACCGATTTTTTTTAAATTTCGATTTCGGTTTTTCGGTTATTTCTGTCGGTTTCGGTTTCGATTTTCAATATTTCAGTTTTTCGGTTCGGTTTTCGGTTTTTAGCTTAAAAAATTCGGTTAACCGAAAAATCGAAATTATTTGTATATATTCTTTACCCCCTTAAATCTTAATTAACTTTCAACCATCCCATGCCCAACCCAGCCGGCCCAAATCCAATCAGAGCTGATAGTCCACAACCTTAACATCAAATTACAATCAACATTCAGCCCATGCCCACTGCCAAGCCCAAATTTCAATCAATATTCAAAAATCCCTAATCTGATTTGTGATTTCCCTAACATCTTCATCGTCTCTCATCTCTCAAAATACGCCGCAACTGCCAACTCTCATCTCTCATCAGTCATCTCTCAACTCTCATCACTCGTCGTAAGTCGTCTCTCATCTCTCATCTCTCAACTTTCGTCTCTCACAGTTAACTCTCATCTCTCAACTCTCGTCTCAGTTACGACTTACGTCGCAGGTTCGCAGGTTGTCTTAGCTTGTCGTTCGTTGCTTCTGGCTCCTCGCTGAGTGCTCAGCTGCTCGCAAGTCGCAGGTGCAACCCGCTACTGCCTACTACTTAGCTTACTGCTCAGTGCACTGCTCGGCGCTTGCGACTTGAAAATCGAAGGTAAGTGCTCACTGGATAAGAATCATAAGATGATCTCTATATATTACTTATTTACTTTAGAGACTCTTAACTAAATTTGTGTACTGTCCATGACTCTTGTGCTCAACCAGATTGTTTGGCAATCTCTATATATTATTTCAGTTTGGTTTGGTTTCATATTTCAAGAGAGCATTTGCACTTTCCAAGCAAATTTTCCATTACTTTCTCTAACGTTCAAGATGCAATTTTCCAATTAACATTCATGTTTAAGAGTAAATTACAAATTGCTTATGTTTATTTCTCTTCTTTTTTATTCTAGAGTTCTATCATTATATTCCATTGTTTATAGGAAGATTTAATTCTAGAAAGAGCCATATTCCATTTTCAAATGTGGCCTAATGTTTGGAGAATTTCTAATAGAAGTTTCCTTTTGGAACCCCAAAAGTGAAACAACAAGAGTAGTAAAACACTGTGATCCTTGCAGTACCTTAGTGTTCTTGAAAAGTTTGCATTCTTTGTTATGCTTTGGGGTGTTGGACCTATGAGGTGATTCTTACTGGTTCTGTCATAAATTTTAAGTCCTAGTGGTGATAAACTTGTTCATTCTTCACTACCAGATTGAGGATTGAGCATGTCTGTGCTCCTCATTTTTTCTTCTTCTTCTTTATTTCCTCATTTCATGAATATGAAATGTAATATGACTAATATCAGTTAGTTAATTCTGTTAGTTACTGTTTATGTTGGAAACTTTTGCTGAGGGCGTGAATGCTTTCTTATGTTTTTAGACATAGGAATTAGGATGTGTTGGTACATCATACATGTATGATTTGTGAGTTTTATTGCTATAAATTGTGAATCCTCTATTGTTTTTTTAATCATTGAATGCAACTATGTGATAATTTGTGTGATTTGTGAACTATAATATATTGTGTGTCTGTGTCTTTCTGAATTCTGATTGTTGTTCTTCTTGTTTATTTCACTTTTTTACAGATGACACAAATTGGAAGTAGGATAAGTGAAAGTGGAGCTTCAAATGAGAGCACACCTAACACCTCATCTCCCAATGAGGTTGAAGTTGATGTCGATACTTCAAAGAAAAGGAAACTCATGGAACCTAGAGCTACTTGTTGGAAGCATTTTGACAAGTTCACCGATGAAAGTGGAGCTAAGAAAGCCAAATGCAAGTATTGTGCGAAACCTTATGCAGCTTCTACATCAAGTAACGGTACGTCGTCAATGAATACTCATATGAGAACATGTCCTAAATTTCCTCGTGACACCGTAGATAAAGGTCAAAATCTAATTAATTTTCTACCATCTTCAATGGGAGCAAAGGAAGGAGTGATTAGCACTTGGAAATTTGACCAAGCACAAAGTAGGAGAGCTTTAGCCAAAATGATAATTGTTGACGAGCTACCGTTTAGTTTTGTTGAGAAAGAGGGCTTAAAAACTTCATGAGAGTTACAGTGCCACAATTTCATATTCCTTCTCGTAGAACCGTGACAAGAGATTGTTATGAATTATACCTTGAAGAAAGACAACTTTTGAAGAAGGTTTTCAAAGAAGCACGTCCAAGAGTTTGTCTTACGACAGATACTTGGACCTCTATACAAAAAATCAACTACATCTGTCTGACAGCCCACTTTATAGATAGAAATTGGACTTTGCATAAAAGAATAATAAATTTTTGTCCTATTTCTAATCATAAGGGCGGGGATATGACGGCTTGCATTACTAATTGTTTGCTTGAATGGGGTTTGGATAATGTGTTTACTATTACAGTTGATAATGCTAGTTCTAATGATGTTACTGTGAAAGAAATGTCTAAACAATTAAGTAATTGGGGAACTAACATTATGGATGGTGACCATCTTCATGTGAGGTGTATGACACATATCCTTAATCTTATTGTGCAAGATGGGTTGAAGGAAATTGGTAAGTCTATCAAGCTAGTGAGACAAGCCGTGAAATACATTAAATAATCTCCCGCAAGAATTCGAAAGTTCAAAGAATGTTGTGAATCTCAATTGATAACTTGTAAGAAATCATTATGTTTAGATGTTCCTACTAGGTGGAACTCTACATATTTGATGCTTGATGTATCACAACATTTTGAGCTTGCATTTGAAAGATATAGTTTTTATGATATAGGATACTTTAACCATTTTTGTACCTTTGGTTCTAATTCTTCTGAAGGTGAAGATGGAACTAGTGCAAAAGATGGAACTAGTGTAGATATTCTTACAAGTGTTGACTGGAAAAATGTGAGGTCAATGGTGAAATTTCTTGAAACTTTTTATGTACTTACTTTGAAAGTTTTTGGTTCTAATTATGTCACTAGCAATACACACTTTGTTGAAATTGCTGAACTTAATCTTATTTTGAAAGAGATGATGGAAAATGAAGATGGTAATTTGAAAGAAATGACAAAAAATATGAAGGAAAAGTTCAAAAAGTATTGGGGTGAACCACATAAAATGAACAAGATGATCTTTATTTCATCCGTGTTGGATCCCCGTAACAAGCTTGATTATGTTCCATTTGCAATTGGGGATATGTTTGGAAAAGAAGTTGGGGATGAGCTATGTTCAGAAGTGAAAAAATACATGAACAAATTATTTGATTATTATGTTGAGACATCCTCAAAAAGCTCTTTACATGTACCATCTTCACCCACTTCATCTGACAACTCATCAATTATATCTAGTGTGAGTGGTTTTGGCAACTTTGTAAATAGAGGAAGAATGAGAACGAAACAACAATTTGAGAAGCATAAAGAAGTTAGTGGAAGTTCAGGTAGTAAATTAGAATTGGAAAGATATCTTGCTGAAGATATTGAGCCAGATAGTGATGGCTTTGATATATTAATGTGGTGGAAAGTAAATGAGCCGAGATTTCCTATTCTCGCGGAGATGGTTCGTGATGTGTTAGCCATTTCCATTTCAAGTGTCGCATCAGAATGTGCATTCAGCACAAGAGGTCGTGTTCTTGATCCCTTTAGGAGTTCATTAACTCCTAAACTTGTGCAATCTCTTATTTGTGTTCAAGATTGTCTTAAAAGTGAGCCTTTTCCAATCAATATTGAGGAAGATTTAGAGTATCTTGAGCAACTTGAACTTGGTAAGATTTTGGTATTTGTATTAATTATATTGAAAATAATTTTATTACTTATGTTTTTTAACAACTAACAAATTCTTTCATATTTTTTTAGATTTTGCTTGTAGTGGGACTGAATCTAGTATTATTGATATATAGTTGCAACTTGTAAGTTCAACTATCAACTAGTGATGCATGGTATGGGTAAGTAAAGAACTTATTTACATAACTTGCTTGATAGTTTTATATATTTTATTATGAAATGTAGATCATAAAGAGTTCTATTTTCTCGCAGACACATCAATGGTTTGTTATTTTCTTGATTGCTATCTGTTGGAACTTGGGAGCTATTGCACTGGAGTTTGGAGGTTGCAAGTTGCAACAATGTTTTGTTGGTTTTTTAATGTTTTGGTTGTTGGCTTGCTGGACTTTTCAGTCTACTGGCAGCTGGACGTTTCAGTTTAGTGGTGCTGCCGTGCTGGGCACAAGTTTTTGAATTTTCTAGTGTTGTACTATTGTTGGCTTGACTCTTGAGTCTTGATAGTCTTTTTATTCTTATTCTCGACTAGTTTGTTAATGTTGCTGCCTGCTGGACAAGAATTATCTGTTTTATTTAGATATTTTAGTCAATGATATGGTAAGTTTCAAGTAAAAGGCTTGTGAGTTGTGACGTGCTTATAAAGAAGGGTGTCCACTGTCCAGCACTTGTTGATTTATGGGTCTTGACTCTTGAATATGGTATCCTCATTCCTCTGGGAGCTCATTGCATTTGTTTAACTGCAAAGAAACAACTTGAATGGTTGAAAGTTGAGACTTGGTGAAACAAATTAAAGCCAAGAAAGTCAAATTTTGTTCAGTTTATAATCAGACCAGCAGAAAATAATCCAGATGCCACAACCCACAGGCCGCATTAATTAAATTTGGTTAAACCGAAAATCAAACCGAAATAAACCGAACCAAAATTGTAATAACCGAACCAAACCGAATTTATTTCAGTTTGGTTTGGTTTCATATTTTGCCAAACCGAAAACCGAAAAAATTAAACCGAAATTTACAAACCGAACCGACCGAACGCCCAGCCCTAACCTTATTGATTTCACTTGTATTCCCATCTTTGAACACAATAATAATTTGCAAAAGTTATAAGTGATCTCTACTATGATGTCTTATAGTTCCACCAATTTCTCTTACTAATTCAGTTAGTTCTATTATTTATCTCTCGTTACTGCAGTGAAATACTTGATGTTTCGTAGATTTTTATTGGTAGATGATTTCTTCTATTAAGGATCACTTCTTTAGCTCTTGCAACATTTGATTCTCTAAATTTGTCAAAGTATCAACAAACTGTGTAATTAATTTGGTCTAAATTGTTAGAAAACTTTAAAAAATTCACCCAAGATCACAAGTAAATCATTAGATAGAGATATTAATCTAGAAGAATGGTAGAAACACTAACCTTATTTCATTGCAGTAACTTCATTGAGGAAGACAACAACTTGATTAATGAATTTAACCTTCCAAACTGATGAACTTGATCTTCTAAACATTAAAGATTACTTTTTAGTGTTCTTTTTCTGAGATGGACAAAAAGAGAAAAGTATATCTTCTGGTTCAGGGACCAAATCCTTTTAAAGGATTTTGAAGTGTCTTTTCGCCTAAGCCATCTTTTCAAATTTAAATGATATCTTTTCAATAAATCTCCATCAGACATAAGAAAAGAACTGTGAGTTTTCTAGACATCTAAAATAAATCCACATGAATATATATTTACTTTTAAGGCCCCAGACTTTATTACTTTATTAGATCCTACAATGAGCTACTATAATGATGGCATATCCACGTATAATATATTAATATGTGAGTCCACAAAATAGAAATTACTAACAATCTCCCACTTGGATTACATATATTTCTAAAGAATCATACATAGATGAAACTTTATTGTGCACAAACTTTTGCTATTTAATTTAAATATCTCAAAACAATCTGGTCCATCGAGAATATCAATATTGGATAAAAGTGATTTTCGTAACATATATTCGTAACTAAACCCATCAATAGTCACAAATATCAGCAATACCAATGACATAGATCAAATACAGAAATTACATGTAAAATGATCTAAATCATGTCTATTTCTAACTGATCCTACTTTATGACTTTTAAGTCCAAAATCACTTTCTTATACCTATGCAAAATAGAAAGTTCTTTATTTTTCAGAGTTATTGTTGACACCCAATTTTGGCCCTCCACTATTAAATTAATTTTCATGCTTCTTAAATTTTGAACAAATTGAAGTAATTGTTTTGGAAAAAATAAAAAATGTTTTTGAAATCATTTTCAAGGCAATTTTCCATTTTTACTATAAAATATATCTCTATATACTTAAAATATATAGATTTATATAAAAAAATTTCAATTTGAATAAATAGTTAGTATATCGTTTTACCAAAAATAGAGTTTTAATTAAGTACGCATCTTATTTCCTTTAAAACTGATCACAATTTAATAAAGATCAAAATAATTATTTTGTGTTGTCGAAGCTTAAATAATTAATTGAATTTGAACTAAAACAATTCGAATCTGGTGAACCAAGGGACCTTCTTCCTTTGAAGTTGAATTGTCCCCTTAACATTTCATTTCAATCCAAATAAAAGAGAAGACCCAATTTCTCTAGCCCAAAATCAGCTGACCCGGCCCAAATAACCCCTATACTCTCTTTGATCCTCTCAACAGTAGGCTCACTACAGACCCAGAACCAACCAGCTCCGAATCGTTTCTCGCCCGCCGTCCTAGTTCCTTCTAATCGAAATCCAAGTGTGCTAGGCACGAGCTCGAGGCGCTGGAAGATTTTTGGAAGGTTCCATAACGATCCTTATCCTCTCAATTTGAATTCGTACAGAATTCCAGCTCATGCGAAGAATTTCAAATTACCCACATCGATTCTAGGCTGTGATTTTCAGATTTCTGAACCCCTTTAAATAGCCACTGTTCAAGGAGACGTTTTGAGACCTCATAGTAGCTTGGGAATTCTCGGTTCAATAGTTCAAAATTTTGTGGCCGTTCGAGTTGGAATCGTTTCCGTGGAACTCGTCGTTCCGGTTCGTTGCCCAGAACCAGGTAATATTTCTTTGTTTCTACAATTTGAATTCTGTTTGTTTGTAGCAATATGTTAGCATAGTTAGATTTTCTTCTGCTCCGAGTCTAAATCTTATAGTCATGTTTTGTTCTTAGTCTTGCTAGAATTAATCAGTTTAACTGTATATTTTCCTTGGCCTTGCTTAATGAAATTTACCTATGGTTTTGAAGGAGCCATTAATTTTCTTTTGTTTGAGTTATTGTGTCATTTGTTCTCTCTCTAAGCATGTTTCTTACTCTAAAATTGACAAAGAAATGTTAAGTTTTGTTGCAGACAAGCCATCCATTGATGCCTCTGACAGAGAATGATGTGAACTTATCTTTTGTTTGTGTCGGAAATGAATATACATTCAGAAGAGTATTTGGACTAATGAAATAAATGGCCGATGAAATGATGATAGGGCCTAAATGCTTGGGCTTTCATCTGCAGCTGGAAGCTGGCCCATTTTGAATAAGGATCCAGTTGTATTTTCCTTAGCAGTTTCTAGAATAGTGTGAGGTGTCTAGTTCAGGTACATGTTGTTATTTTATTTTGTAATTAGCTTTTAGTCCCTTTAGTCCTTTTTTTCCTATTTGCACAGTAGAGCTTAATAAATTGTATAAAGGAATGTAATGGAGGCAGAATTAAGACAGAGAGAAAATTTCCACAAATCTTGTGTTCTTCTTTCAAATTCTACATGGTATCAGAGCAGTAGCTCGATCTAGCTCAAGCACAACATTTTTTTTCTTTCAAATCACAATATCTGAAAATGGTGGATGGTGTTGCTGTAGTAGAAACTTCCAATGCTGGAAACGCTGTGGAGATTGGTAGCACTCCATCTTATTATCTCCACCCCTCAGATTCACCTGGAATGAACCTAGTTAACTCCATCTTTGATGGAAAAGGATTCCTAGGATGGAGGAGATCTCTCCTCATTGCTCTCTCTGCGAAAAAGAAGCTTGGATTCATAAATGGAAACTGCAAAGCTCCAGATATGGCACATAAAGATTTTGAACAGTGGAGTTGTTGCAATGATATGGTAATTTCTTGGATACTAAATTCACTGTCAAAAGAAATTGGTGACAGTGTAATTTATTCCAAAACAGCAAAAGAGCTGTGGGACAGTTTGGAGAATCGATTTGGGAGATCCAATGGAGCCAAGCTGTATCATCTGCAAAAAGAGTTATCAGGTTTAGTTCAAGCCAATAATGACATTGCTGGGTATTTCACAAAGCTCAAACGTTTATGGGATGAACTCGACTCACTCAACCTATCATCATGTTGTACCTATGTGTGTACGTGTGAAGGAAAAGCAAGGTTGGTTAAGTCCTTGGAAGACCAAAAACTCATACAATTTCTAATGGGTTTGAATGATGTTTATGCCCAAGCAAGAGGAACCATATTGATGATGAACCTTCTACCTACCATTAATCAAGCATACAGTCTACTTCTCCAAGATGAGAATCAAAGGGAGGTATATGTGAATGCCTTCATACCACCTGATTCTGCTTCATTCATAGCTGCAAGACAAATGGGAGGTAATTTCAGATCTGGGAATCAAGCTAATAAAGGAGCTAATACATCACATAATTTCGAAAACAAATGAGGTGGTACATCTCAGAATTTCGGGAATCTCAATCAAAGGCCTGGAAAACACTTTCAAAAATCTAGGCCAATGAAGGTGAAATACGATCCCAATGTGAGTTGTGATCACTGTGGAAAGACAGGTCATTTGAAGCTGGATTGTTTTAGACTCATAGGGTTTCCGGAAGATTTTCAGTTCACAAAGAATAAAAACTACCAGGTTTCAGTCAAAGGAAATACAGCTATATCAACAGAAGACACACACCACAAATATGGAGAAGCATTTCCACATGATTACATGCAACATCTTAGCAAGGAGCAGTACTCGAATCTGGTACACAATGTTGTCAAGGATGCAAAGTTGACTCAATCAAGCACATCAGGATCATCATTTAATGTGAATACGGTTGCTGGTACTATACTTAAATATTCTGCTTCATGTTTTCCAGTTTTTAATTCTAGCACCTGGATCATTGATTCAGGTGCTTCTGAGCATATGTGTTTCAATTCTAAGTCCTTTTTGTGTCTAACCCCTCTCCCTGTGCCTTTGAATATCAGTTTGCCCAATTCTTTCAACATTATTGTCACTCACACAGGGAGTGTTAGTATTCTGCCTTCTCTCACTCTGCATAATGTTCTTCATGTTCCAGATTTTAAGTATAACCTTCTATCAGTTAACAAGTTGTGTATTCAACTTAATTGTCATGTTTTATTTACTTCTAGTGGGTGTCTCTTACAGGACCATTCAATGAGGAAGGAACGCGTTTTTGGTGATGTAGGAGATGGTCTATATCTACTCCAGCCCACTAAAATAGATTCAGGATCAATTAGAAATGTTTTTCCAAAAGGAAGTCATTCCAATGATGTTTTTAGTAATATTGTTAGTCCTATTTCTGGCTGTAATTCTCATTCAGTTTCTGTTCCTGCCTATGCAGTTCCTGATGTAAATCTGTGGCATGTCCGATTAGGGCATTTACCATTTTCAGCAATGAGAAATATAAGTTTAATTCATTTTCCTTCAAATTCTGAGTATATTTGTCATATTTGTCCTTAAGCTAGACTGAGTCGACTTCTTTTTCCAGTTAGTGCCATTAAAACCCAAAGAATTTTTGAACTAATTCATATTGATACATGGGGACCTTTTAAGGATTCTACTTACAATGGTTTCAATTATTTTTTAACCATAGTAGATGATTTTAGCAGGGGCACTTGGACTTTTCTCTTGAAAACTAAGAGTAATGCTTTTCCAATCTTAAAGGATTTTTTGGCTATGGTGGAAAGACAGTTTCATTCACCAGTCAAAAGAATCAGATCTGATAATGCTTTGGAACTTGGTAAAGGTTCACAGAAGGCTGCTTTTCTGAGTTCTGCATGGATTATTCATGAGAGATCTTGTGTTGCCACTCCCCAACAAAATGGTGTTGTCGAGAGAAAGCATAGACATCTCTTGGAGGTGGCCAGAGGATTGCTTTTCCAATCTAAATTGCCTATCCAATATTGGGGAGAATGCATTTTGACTGCCACTCATTTAATCAACAGATTGCCTTCTAGAGTACTTCAAGGGAAGACACCTTTTGAAGTGCTTTTTGGCTCTCCACCCTCATATGAGGGACTTAGATCTTTTGGTTGTTTATGTTATGTTTCCACTCTATCTCATCCAAGGGACAAGTTTCAGCCAAGAGCTAAAATATGTATCTTTCTTGGGTATCCTCCCTCTCAAAAAGGTTATAAAGTGCTGGAAATGGCTAGTAGAAAGGTTTTTATCTCTAGAGATGTCAAATTTCATGAAGATGTTTTCCCTTTTGAGACCACTTCTTCACCATCTACTTCCAACTTTCTTTTCCCCTCTCATATACCTTTTCCAGATTATGCAGATCCTTCATCCACATGCTTTCCTGCCTCATCCTCTAACCCTCCTACTCCAGATCCTCATCATATTCCCATAAGTTGTGATCTCACATCTCCTACTGATCCACACTCTACTGTTTCCCCTGATTTGCCTCCTAGGAGATCTGTAAGACCTAGTAAGCCTCCCTTTTATTTGCAAGATTTCATATGCAATTCTATCCTTCTCACTGATGTCACTAACTCTTGTTTTGTTCACCCTACTTCCCCTACTTCCTTTTCTTTTGGAGCTCTGTCTCTTCCCAACCAACATATTTTCCATTCTTTATCCACTGTCATTGAGCCTAACAGTTTTGGTGAGGCTTCTCAACACCCAGGTTGGACTAAAGCTATGAAGGATGAGATTGCAGCTCTCCAACTCAATCACACTTGGGATGTAGTGGTTCTACCCCTTGGGAAGAAGCCTCTTCCTTGTAAATGGGTTTACAAGGTGAAACACAATTCAGATGGGTCTATCGAAAGGTTGAAAGCAAGATTAGTAGTTAGGGGGGGATATACAGAAGGCAGGAATCGACTACACTGAGACATTTTCCCCGGTCGTTAAGATGACCACCATCAGATGTCTTCTCACAATTGCAGTCAAGAAAGGTTGGCCCGTGTCCCAATTAGATGTGAACAATGCCTTTTTACATGGTGAATTACAAGAGGAGGTGTATATGCGATTTCCAGCTGGTTTTCTACCTCCCACACCAAATCATGTTTGTCTCTTACGAAAATCACTTTATGGACTTAAACAGGCTTCAAGGCAATGGTATGCACGTCTGGCTGGGGCTTTGAGCTTCAAAGGATACTCTAGCTCCTTGAATGACTACTCTCTATTCTACAAGGTCAATGGTGATCTGGTCTCGATTCTGGCGGTCTATGTTGATGATATATTACTTACAGGTAATGACAGTTTAGAGATTACCGACATAACTCATTTTCTTGATTCTGAGTTCAAGGTTAAGAATTTGGGCGATATACATTATTTCTTGGGTATGGAGATTATACGAGAGCAGCAAGGGTTCATAATCAGTCAACGGAAATTTACCTTGGATCTGCTCAAGGAGTTTGATTGTATAGGTTCTCCTGTTTCTTCCCCTCTCGATCCGTATGTCAAGCTACAGGCAGATGATGGACCTTTATTATTAGACCCTACTATGTATAGGCATTTAATTGGAAAACTTAATTACCTCACACATACCAAGCCTGATCTCTCCTATGCTGTCCTTTCCCTCAGTCAGTTTATGCAAAGACCTACTGTTGCCCATTATACAGCTGCTCTTCGAGTTCTCAAATATCTTCGTGCAGATCCTAGTCAAGGCATTCTCCTTTCTTCTACTCCATCAATGAACCTCATTGCCTTTTGCGATGCAGATTGGGCGTCTTGCAAGGATACACGAAGATCAGTTAGTGGTTTTTTCATTACTCTAGGTGGTGCACCTATTTCCTGGAAATCAAAGAAACAAACTTCCATTTCCTTGTCCTCCGCTGAAGCTGAATACAGATCCATGAGAAGGGTCACTGCGGAACTGACCTCGTTGGTCCGCTTACTTACAGATCTCTCTGTTCCACCTATTCTGCCGATTCCTCTTCATTCTGATAGCCAAGCTGCCATTAACATTGCTCGCAACCCCGTCTTCCATGAGCGAACGAAGCATGTTGACTTGGACTGTCATTTCGTGCGGCAACAGTTTCTCTCCAGTCTCATTACATTGTCTTTCGTCCCTTCGTCTCATCAGTTTGCCGACTTGTTTACTAAGCCTCTCTCTGGGGTTTCTCATCGTCAAATAATGGACAAGTTAGGGGTTTTTTCCTTCCCCTCTAACTTGAGGGGGGATGTTGCAGACAAGCCATCCATTGATGCCTCCGACAGAGAATGATGTGAACTTATCTTTTGTTTGTGTCGGAAATGAATATACATTCAGAAGAGTATTTGGACTAATGAAATAAATGGCCGATGAAATGATGATAGGGCCTAAATGCTTGGGCTTTCATCTGCAGCTGGAAGCTGGCCCATTTTGAATAAGGATCCAGTTGTATTTTCCTTAGCAGTTTCTAGAATAGTGTGAGGTGTCTAGTTCAGGTACAGGTTGTTATTTTATTTTGTAATTAGCTTTTAGTCCCTTTAGTCCTTTTTTTCCTATTTGCACAGTAGAGCTTAATAGATTGTATAAAGGAATGTAATGGAGGCAGAATTAAGACAGAGAGAAAATTTCCACAAATCTTGTGTTCTTCTTTCAAATTCTACAAGTTTTGAGATTGGGTGTTGTTTCTTTCTTTACTGTATAAGCTAGTCGTTTGTTTATGATCTAGTGCTTGTTAACATTTAGTAGATGCACTTCTTAAGCATGCTGTTTGTTTGGGTTCTCTGTTAAGGCCTTCAGTCTTGCAGTCCGTTTCTCTGGCATTTTTCTTCGGTTTGATGGTTCTTTTGCCCATGTTTCTTTCTAGTTACTGTTCATCCAAGTTCTATTTTTCTAGCTCTCTGTTTTCATATAGTTTTGAGTCCATTTTAGTAACTGTACGCGTTTTAGTTTGATTTTCTTCTCATCTAAGTTGGGCTACTGCTTCGCCATAAGCACAAAGGAGCTTGTTTTAGTTTAAACTTAATTTCATGAGGTGTTTAGATTCTTATCATATTTAATCCCTAATTTCAAAGTAATTAATTGAGGGTATAATAAGATTTATTTTTTTGTCCTTTCTTGATTTGTCAAAATGGACAAGTAATTAAGGACAACTATAAAAGGAAAAGTGGACAAGTAAATAGGGACATAGAGAGTATGTCAATAACAATACAATAGACACACAAAACTATCGGCAAAATACATAAACATGATCCTTAAGTTGGCGTTAGCAGGCAACTATGACCTTTAACTTTGGGTGTGCACAAATAGACACTTAAACTTGTATAAAATGGATAAATGGACACATTTGTCCTACATGACAATTTTGTGTCCTATGTGATGTCCTACATGTATTATGCCATGTAGGACACATGTTTCAATTTATATAAATTTAATTGCCTACTTGTATACACTCAAAATTAGAGAGTTTAATTGTCCACTGAAAAAACCAAGTTAAGAGTTATGTTTATGTATTATGTCAAAAATTGTCTAAAGCAGATCTAAAACAATACAATATGACACAATTCAATATGATACATAAAAGTGTTGACATTTCAATGTAATTACCCCAAACGAAAAAACAAATAGCCAAATTCGTTTCGAAGGCCAAATAGTAACCCCATAGGCCGCAACTCTTTGAGTTCTCCCTCTCATCAACTCCGCCAATATCAATCTACACAAAAATCGAAAATACTTCAACTGAGCACAAATCAGTGAATCCAGTGATTCTGAAATTCATTTTTCTGGTAAGTTAATTTAATGTTAAGCAAACCCCAATGCACATTTACAGCACAAACATACCGAAAAATTGATTTTTTTTGTTGTTGTTGAGATTTTCACTTTAATTACTTGGTAATCTAGAGCTAATTGATTGCTTAAAATCAATTGGAGAAAGTGAAATCATGCTTCCATAACAAATAATTGACTTCTCTTTGTTTTCTATAGTGAATATATCAAAAAAAAATTCTTTGGGTGTTGTTTTTTTCTCTATTTAGTAGGTCATATAGATTAAGCCACTAGGGCAGTCTGCAATGATATCAAAAAGATACAAACTTTAACAAAAATAATTGGGTTTTTATAATGTAATTGATACTTTCTCCTTGAGCAAGAGGGTCTATCGGGAACAACTTCTCTCTGGCTTCACAAAGGTAGGGTTAAGTTTATGTATGGACCATCCTTTCCAGGCCCCACTTGTGGGATTATAATGGGTATGTTGTTTTAATTGATACTTTCTCCATCAATGCCAAGTTTATTGAGTGTTTTAGTTTCAATGTTCGATTTCAGATGATGGGGTTAATTCTTCATTTTTTCAGTGAGAAGTCATTTTTTAGTTGTTTGGTTACCTTGAGTTGTGGAAAATCGGGAATCTTAGTAGCTCAGTTGATTGGCTATGGCTATATGAACTTTCCCCTGGTTGGTGAGCAGTTGATTCCCCATCTTGTGAATTTTAAAAAAGAAGTCGTGGAAAATCATTTATATCCTATATAGCATACACAAGCTCTTAGTCTCAACTTCTGTAAATGTGACTGATGTTAATTCTGGTACTGGTGGTTTGATGTTTGGGCTAATGTTGATAGTATGTGTGATCCAATAGGATGGCGGTTGTGGAACCTTCCTCCTCATTGGAGATTTTAGTAAGAGGACCAGAAGGTTTTTTTATTTGGAATGGACCTCCTTTCCCGAGCGGTGAACCTGGTGTCAAGCTGGATAGGGTTCCTTGTACCAGTGCAAAGTTCAGTGATGATGGGTCCAAACTTATGGTTACGAAATTAGACTCTGTAATTAGCATCTTTGATTGCAAAACCTTGACAGAGATTAGGTCCTTTGATGTCCCAAATGTTCTTGCAGCTGTCATCTCTCCTTGCGGGACTTATCTTCAAACCTTCCAAAAATGTTCATCTCCTCAGCATAAGAACGTAGTCTTGTGGAAGATAGAAAATGGTGAATCTGCTTACCAACTCTTCCAGAAAAATATGACTAAAGTTACATGGTAATTTTTCTTTTGCTTTGGCTGTCAATGTGGAAATTTATGCTCATAATTTTGTTGTATTTTGTTCATTTGGATTCTGCTTTCTTCAGGCCTTCAGTACATTTCAGCTCTGACGAAACTGGTGCATGTCGATTGGCAACAAATGAGATCCAATTTTTTGATCCTAGGGATTTCTCGAAGGGATTCGTTAATCGGCTTCGAGTTCCTGGGGTTGCTGCATTGGAGCTTTCTAAAGCCCCTGGATCATATGTGGCTGCATTTGTTCCAGAATCTAAGGTCTATTTTACAGTTCAGGAAGAGAATTATTGGATACTCATTAATTATGAATTTAAAATATCCATGTATTATTCTTCTTGATTGATCACTGTGCATTTCGATATGCTTGCTGACTCTTTAACTAATCCATATTTTGCTTGTTGTTAGACAACTTGACACAACTACGATTGAGTGCAACTGTTAAGTCTCATAGAAGTGCATTCCATCCAGAATATTTCCTATAAATTAAAAAAACATATTTTCCAGAAGCTGTCTAAACTGCTCCTTAATGTAATAAAAAGTTACACTTTGAGGCTTTGGGAATATATGACAAGCTTTCATAATAAATCCTATATGGGAGGGAGGCACTTTAGTAAACCAGATATCAATGAGCTGTCTTACAGAGAGTTGTGTTTCTGGGCAGCACAGTACATCATGTTTGTTGTAGTGAAACTGCTACAGGAGAGTAGTCAACTAAGTGAATCTAAGAAATCATCTGACTATTTTGGAATTCTTTTTGGTATAGTAATGTCCAAAAACCAATATATATGGATAGGGTTGAAGAGTAAAATACTTCCTTAGTTTCATCACTTTTCTGCAATCAGATTACGACACAATAGAAAATTCTTCAAGTGTTTAGTGCTTGGGCTGACAGTTCTCAGGGTTCCTAATTAACCTTTCGGAGATTAATTATGCAGGGAATGCCAGCCAGTGTTCAGATATATGCTTGTGGAAAGGACTTACAAAGTCAACCTGTTGCTCGACGTAGCTTCTTCAGGTGCTCAACTGTGCAACTGAGCTGGAACTCTGGTTCTACAGGGCTCCTAGTGGTGGTCCAATCAGATGTTGATAAAACAAACCAGAGTTACTATGGAGAATCAAAGTTGAACTACTTGACTACTGATGGGGCCCATGAAGGGCTTGTGCCTCTTCGTATGTTCTATCATCTTATTTTCAGAAAAAGTTATGTGTTGAATGAGTGAATTTGGAATTTAGAGATCCTTGGTATGTTGCAGGTAAAGAAGGCCCTATTCATGATGTTCAATGGTCCTATTCGGGTAAAGAATTTGCAGTTGTTTATGGATGTATCCTTTACTAAATCCTAATCTCAAGACTTGTGAAACTGTTACCAAGAAATGAAAAGAAAACCTTAGAGAAGAGGAAAAAAGAAGATTGTGAAAAGAGTCTTATGTAAATATAACACACTATTCATGAAGGAGAGGTTTGGAGCAACGATAAAGTTGTCTCCGCGTGACCTATAGGTCATGGGTTTGGGCCGTGGAAGCAGCCACTAATGATTGCATTATGTTAGACTGTCTACACGACACTCCTTTGGAGTGCGGCCCTTCCTTGGACCCTGCTAAAGCGGGATGCTTTGTGCACCGGCTGGCGGCTGCCCATTAATGAAAAGCCATACAATTTGAAGACAAGAATATTGGAAGAAATGTTCTTAAAGTTTGAAATTCGATGCAGCTTCTTTCTAAACAAGGTAAAAGTTTTAATATATGCACACTTATGATTAATTGCCGAAGGTTAGAGCTTGGTTCTTCCATTATTCTCTCATTCGTGGTTCCTGGTGTTCCAGCCTTTTTATTTAATTATTCCTTCTTAAACCTTCTTTCTCAATTAAGAGAAATGCAGAATAAAAAAAGCAAGATAACTGTTAAATGGTGGAGGACATCTAGCATACATATTTTTTTGTTCTTTAACTACAACGATGGTCGATGGTCTTAGGTCAAGTGCATTAGATCATTTGGCTTTTATATATTCAACAAACTTGTGTTCAGTTAATTGATAGGGTCTAAGTGTTGTCCTATCAAAGGAGCTCTTATTTCCTCCTTTGAGTCTATTTGTTCAAAATTAATTTGCAGCCAGTATCCGCCTCCAAAGGGGTAGAATAACAGTCAAAGAGCTAGGTGAAACCTTCCTATCTGCCTAGCCCTTGGTGGGTAGGGTCAGTTGGTACCTATGCTGTGTCAGAAGTAGTAATAAAGTGTGCAAGATATCCTTAATGCTACCGTTAAAAAATGAAAGAAAAATATGCAGCTAGTATTCCTATATTTCTGTTGAATGTATTGTTTCATATATTTTTTGGATGTTGCTGCTATCCTTAAATCACTTAGTTATGCCTGCTATGGCCACGGTTTTTGACAAGAAGTGCAATCCTCTACTTGAGCTTGGAACAGGCCCATACAACACTATCAGATGGAATCCATTGGGAAACTGTATCCTTTACTTAGTAAATAAATTATTTTCCGTATTTGTCTTCATTATCTAGTTGGTCATTGGAAAAAAAAACATACAAGGGCTCGTTCAGACTGCTAGTTTATTTCCACAGTCAGCAGTTTTTGCTTTTGTTTGCCTTAACCTTGGTCTACAGTTATATGCTTGGCAGGCTTTGGTAACTTACCAGGAGACATGGTATGCATAATTAGATAATTTATCCTACAGAGAAGTCAGAAATGCCCATAACTCTTATATCTGTGTCAAATATCATGGCTTGCTATTACTTATCAAAATAGATGACTTCTGACAAATATGATAAATATAACAAAGTATCAAAGTTACCCTTACTACCAACAATTTAATGAGAGATGGAAAGAGTTTGACGTGTCCCATCAATCTTTATTTTCTTCTAATAAAATCAGTTATTGTATCAAGTGGTGTCACAAGAAGTCATGTGAATAAAGAGTAAATCAGTAAAATTGGGATGTTACAGTTGAATAGTTCCAAATATGGAAAGGTGTCAATCTCTTTGAGATGGACTAAAAAGGAACAAATATCACATAAAACTTATCAAGAAAGTAGAAAACTTAGATTTAAGTGTTGAATAGGACACAAATTGATCAGTCACTGGAGGCATGCCAAACTCTTAACTATGCTAAGCTTACAGTCACACCAAATGATGCTCGAGGAGACTCTTTAATACATGTAGCCATCAGCACAATCAGTGTATAAGACCATTTGGTTCCTCCAAATGGTCAATAGTTAAGTGTACTGTAAACAATTGTATTTAATAATATACTCCCTCCATCCCATTTTATGTTACGGTGTTTGAACATAGTCCATACACAAAGTTTAAGATAATATGTAAGACTTTTGAAACTTGTGGTGTATAACAAGCCATAGACATTTGTATGGTTGTAACTTGTACATCACCTCATTAAGGGTAGATGAGAAGTTTAAAGTTGAATTGTTTTTAAATATATAAAAGCGTCATTCTTTTTGGGACGGACCAAAATGATAGCATGCCACATTAAAATGGGACATAGGCAATTATATTGTATCAGGTGTATTAGTAATACAACGATGTACATGGTACATATCTCTATAAAGGGATTCACATGCAAGTCATTGTTCTTTGCTCATTCTCTCAATTCTTTATCCTTGTTTCTACTGTATCTCATATGACATCAAATTTTTGTTAGAAATTACTTTGCATTTGCCAACGATATCTGAGATAAGAAAATGTCATTTGTCGCATATTTTCCTGAAACTGTCTCATTTGCCCGAGCCTTTTTGCTTTTGTAAATGTTATGCATCAACCAGCACTACCACGAAACTAGGAACATTTCAGAAGACAAAATTCGAGAAGCACGTCTCAAGGGCAGGTCCTGCACGTCTATGAGGAGATCTACTCATATGCTCAGTGTGTGAATCCTATTCAGATTTCAGACAATTCTTTGAATTTCTAGCTTTCATGGTGGTTGATTCTTCATTCTAAACCTAACCAATTTTGATCACCTGAACCCTAATTCTGTGAGGCTCAAACAATTTCGTGCCTTCTTTTTTTATTCATTTGAGATTTAATTTAATATTCTGACTCACTAGGTTTTGGTTAGTTTATTACAACAGTGTCTTTTGCTGACAAAGATCTTGCTTACTGTACACCCACTATAATAAGATTATCCTGCACCATAAGGCTCATAAATGGCAACAATCTCCAGTGCTTTTTCAATTGTTCTTTAGTTTGGTGAGTTCTTTCGACAAATAGAATATTTAGGTGATTCTTATGACAAAAAGATTTTCAAATATCTCATTCTGACAGCTTTCCGGATTAATTTTCCAGCAAGTTCAATTCCTTCTGTATGTTCATCAATCTCCCAACCTTTTAACTCAGATTTTGTCCTCCTACAATTATGTCATATGAATTTGAGAATTTTGGTCAAAATAAAATATGGCGAATTATGTGGCATCCAAGGGTGTGGCTTGGTGGTAAACGAAATGAGTGCAAAACTTGGAGAGCAGGGTTCAAATCCCAGCATTAAAAAGGAACACTAGGTGATGTCTTCTCATCTACCTAAGCATTGGTGGCAGAATTATCCGGTACCATGCTGGTGAGAGATAGCACGTAACCGATGGAGTAGCTGAGGTTTGCGCAAGCTAGCCTAGACACCATCACTATCCAAAAGACTAAATAGATATGGTGATTTATGTGGTTAGATGGTTTCTTCTATCTGATTAAAATGAGTTTCTTTAGTGTATGGTACTTAAATAGTAGTCTAACGCTTGTAATTTTAGTTGTTCAAATTGGCAAACTATTACTTATGTCTCTTAGTCCTCCATTCTTGTTTTTCAGATTGTTGGCTCAGCTCTACTCCTTTTTCTCATTTTCTTTCTTTAGTTGCATTATCCAATGAATTCTAATCCATGACAATTGGAATAGGCCAAGCTATCCTTTCCCTACTTGAATTTGAAAAAGTCAATTCCTGATGTTCTTAGTTGTCCTTTTAATCACATAATACTAATTAGTCGCTTATCCTTAACACTTGATTATCTAACCCTATTTACATTAAACTATCAACCAGATTGTTTGTGGGTGTTTATTGGATATGGTATGTATAGGTATTTGGTACAAGTAGCTGTAGGTTTTGCTAATTCTTATTTCAACAACAACATACCTAGTATAATCCCACAAAGTGCGGTCTGGGGAGGGTAGAGAGCACAAACTTTTCCTCTACCTCAAAGGTAAAGAGGCGTTTTGTTAATTCTTATAGTTTGAATTATTGGCACATAATATCCATAGTCAAATTACACCCGTGCATCATGGGTACATCTAGACAAATGAAAATGTTTGCTAGTATAACCTAGTGATTAACATGGTGGAACCGTTTTCCTGGTGCTATCTCAAGTCACCTCTATTTCCTACTCGACCATGGATATGTTATCAACATCTAATCCATTCTGGTTGATGTAATGTTGGGTTAAATCTTTCTTACTCACATATGAATTGTTAATACAAGTTATAAAGAGCATAGGTTTGGCATGTAGGATGACATGTAAGGTTAAAAGATTTCATTCCTGAGAAAATTTGAATATTTACTCTAGTGGTAGAACTAGCCTCATCTTTTGGCAAGTGCAGCCTGTCTGCACTTTGACCTTCATCTATGCTATAGTTATTTGAACAAAACTAAAAGAGTTGGAAAACTAAGGAAGTGACTTCTGCCTATGGTATCAGCCTATGGAGATCAATCAGAAATGTGTGGCATAGTTTCTTTCAAAGAACTAGATTCAATGTAAACAATGAAAGGAACATTTTGTTTTGGGATGATAAGTGGTTAGGAATTGGTAGCCTCAAGCAGCTCTTTCCAGACATCTATCTGTTGAATCAGCAACAACAGGCCACTGTGCAAGAAGTCTGGTCCATCCATGGATGGAACTTAACATACAGAAGGATAATACAAGATTGGGAGGTGGATAGACTAGCTGAATTTTATGGCACCCTAGACCATATTGAAGGATTGGAAGAGGGAGAAGACATTCTCAGGTAGATTCATCACAGCAAAGGTATCTTCACAGTTAGCTCTGCCTACAAGAATCTGAATCAAATGGGGACTCAACTCAGATTTTTGCCTTGGAAGCTTATCTGGAAAGTCAAAACTCCATATAAGGTGGCAGTCTTTACTTGGTTGGTAGTAAAAGAGGCAGAACTAACTCAGGAGAATTTCATGAATAGGGGAATACGTATGTGTCCTAGATGTTTTTTTTGTGACCAACAGGCAGAGACAATCAACCATCTGTTTCTTCACTGCAGGGTGGTTAGCTAAGTTGCTCGGACTCTCCAAAAATGTTGCCGCATCTGTGTCGGATACTCCAAAAATGCACTACTTTTGAAGGATCCAACACGCACCTGATGACATTTTTGAAGAGTCAGAGCAACATAGGTGGGTAGACAACTTTGGAACTTGTTTACTAGCTTCAGGGGCACAAGTTGGACCATGCCACGAAGGGCAAGTCAGCCTATAAAAAGCTGGAACAATGCAGGTCAGTAGAGACCAAAACAGATGGAGCATTGTCCCAGCAGTGATTTGGTGGACCATATGGAAGGAGAGAAACTTGAGGTGTTATGAGAGCATTAGTTGTCCTTTACATAGGATTAAAATGAATTCATTATCACTTTTTGCAATTGGTGCAGTTCTGAGTATGTAGATGATCCTGTAATTATTATAGATATTCTAGGTTCTTTGTAAGATGAAGTAGGATCTAGTTTAGTTTTGTGTTTTGTTGAGTTTCTCAACTGTATGTAGCTCCATGATGTAAATTTGGGATCCCAGCCTTTAGTGCTGAAGATTTATACACAAAACTGTTACCTTTGCCAAAAAAAAACACTAAAAGACTGTATTGCCATGTCTACCCTGAGGCTTAGAAAATTCCTATTAAATCTTAGTTGATTCTTTAAGTGATGCTTGCCTGTGATCTTGAATTAGAAGTTTCTTCCTCATTTAGCTTAGCTCTTAAGTGATTAGTTATGATTTCAGGCATTCTGGGACTACAGGGAAAAGAAGCAACTTGGAACTACAAGGGCTGAATTGTCAGTGACAAGTGAATGGTCTCCTGATGGTCGATACTTTATGACTGCCACAACAGCTCCACGCCTTCAAGTTGATAATGGGTATGCATATGTTTTGCTGATTTTGTTTGTGTGTAAAATGTGCTTCGGCTAAACTCTAAAGTCTAAGGTACCTTGAGAACCTAATGTATAAAATTTCAGTTTGTAGCTTGCAATGAGAAGATAACTTTTTTTGCTCTGCAATGATTAGACAATTCAATGTGTTAAATTACTGCATTTTGCTTCAGTCTATAATATATTTGAATATCTTGATGACTGTCTAGACTACTTGATTTCTTTCAATCTATTGGTTTAATAGTTTTTTAAATCTTGAATTTGGTTGTCAACTTTTTCTTTGCTGATGTTTATCCACCTGCAAATGTGTCGCCAAGACTTAAGGGTAAGTTCTACAGAGTGTTGGTTAGACCAACAATGTTGTATGTGCAGAGTGCTGACCAGTTAGAACGTCTACATTCAGAAGATTAATGTAGCGGAGATGAGTATGCTCATATGGATGTGTGAACACACTAGGGGAGACATGATCTGGGGCCAAGGTGGGTGTGGAAATCGAGGCGAACAAGGTGAGGAAAGTGAGATTGAGATGGTTCAGTTATGTGAAAAGGAGGTGCACGGATGTGCCAGTTAGGAGGTGTGAGAGGTTGGATGTAGCAAGAGTTACGAGAGGTAGAGGTAGGCCGAAAAAGAATTGGGGAGGTGATTAAATAGGACATTACACAACTTCAGCTTACTGGGGACATGACCTTAGATAGGTATGGAGTTGGAGGATTACGGTAGAAGGTCAATAGGTAGCCAAGTGTGGTCGCCCATTGAGTGGGAGAGGCAAGGGGCTAGCCCCATATCCTATTCTCGTTATTATTAGTAGTAATTTAGTAATTTAGTAATCTCTTTTTCTTCAAAGTGATTTTTTGCTATTTGTTGCTTTATTTTGCTCTGTATCTCGATATTTTGCTATCATCTTTTCTTGCTATCCTTCTCCGAATAGCTTCTCTTTTTGAGCCGAGGGTCTATTGGAAACAACTTCTCTACCTCACAAAGGTAGAGGAAAGGTCTGCGTACATCTTACCCTCCCAGGGTCACACTTGTGGATTACACGGGGTATGTTGTTGTCAATCCACCTGCAAGTTTAATATCAATTGTTATAGCAATTATCATCTATATTCCTTACTAAAAGTTGGATCTATTGAATTAAGGCCCTAATGTAACTGCATGAACTCATAATCTTGTTTGAAAAGCCTTCAGTGATTCTAAAGGTATGAGAAGCTAGTGAATAGTGATCATGCTTAATGTTGGCTTTGTTGGACGAGAGAGTGTACTTCCAGGTTTATGAAAGCAGATATATTTGGAAACTTCATTAATCAAAGACATGATAGCTAATGCCTATTTTCATACTTTTGAAGGGTTAAAGTCTTTCACCACAATGGATCATTATACTTCAAGAAGATGTTTGATAGATTGTATCAGGTTAATAATAGTCGTGCTTATTTGCTTTTTTCTCTTTTCTGGTCCCAAACCAATTTGCTTTGCCTGCTTACTTCTTTGTTCACTCCTCTGACAGGTTGATTGGAAGCCAGAATCAGTTGAAAAATTTGGTGACATTGAAGACCTTGTGAAGGCAGTTGGCTCGGTGAAAATAGATGAAGCTAAAGTGCCAGGTTCCTCCTGTTTAAATCTAGTAACAAAGTTTGATGTAATGCCCATTTATAATAATGGGAGCTGAAACCAAAATGTCTTTATAGGGAAAGGATCAAAAGCTACCCAGGCCGTTCCAAAAGCTACACAGGCTGTTTCAAAAGCTGCTCAGGCCGTTCCAAAAGCTACACCTGCCAATCCTCCTGCAGCAAAACCTGCTGCTTATCGTCCACCTCATGCCAAGGCCGCTGCTGTAGTTCAAGCAGAGGTATGGATGGATACTTTATTGAGTACTTATTACTTTTTTTCTTTTTGACAAGTCAAGGTGTGTTCAGTAAAAACATGCGATTGCTATTCAATATGAAAATTCTCTATGAATCTGTTGCTTTTAACTACATTCTTATACAAAATACTTTCTTCAGTATTCTGAACGTCATGCCTGGGCCAGTTTTTACACTGGCTGATTAAATCTCTTTCTAATGCCCATTTCCCAATGGAGAACACTGACGTTATGAGTATGCCATTACAATGTCTAAACGACATTCTATTAATGATATGGTAGGTTTCAAATATGATGAATTATTCACTCGTGGTGTTTTCTGCACAGCCATTATCTTTGTGAAGTAAACCGATCTTTTATACAGCAACCATAATATTTTTGTAGTTGGTTCCCTTATAAATACTCATCCTGTAAGATTATATTGTTGCCAGGTTCCAAGAAAGTAATGGTGTTTTTTAATGGTTTTGCTATTGTCAAGATATTCTTTTATTTGACCAGGAATATTTTGAGAAGGATCGTCAAGATATTCTGCATCACAATTTGACTAAGTAACCTTAACCCCATACACCCCCTCTTTGGAGTCAACATTATACTCATAATGGTTAATGCCATGTCAATTTTTAATTGGATTTTATGTGCATTAATAACTGTACAAACTAGTGTGCAATGGTATAGCAGCAGGATAACCCCTCAATTTTTTTTATTTGCTTCATTTATGCTCCATAAACTGCATTTTGACCTATCGTGAGTCTTGTTAACCATAGTTCTTTGTTTTTTGGTTTCATTATTTTGTTTTGTTTTTTTCTTCGTTTGTTTGTTTGTTGCTTTCTTTGTATACTCCGTCATGCACCCACCAGAAGTAAGCTCTTAAAAACCCCTCTTTTTAATCTGTCCAACATGACTTGTTTGCGTTGACCCTGCACTTGGCAAAATAGGGTTTTTACAACCTGTGAACCTAAAACTGACGTAGCATAAGTTTGGATCTTCATGTATTAAATATAAGGAAGGAGGTTTCTTGCTTTTTGGACCTGGAAGTTATGGCCGAAAGAGCAGGTGAAGGTTCTCTTGGAGGCTTACTTCGTCTATTAATGGTTTTGATGATGAACTGTCTGATGGTATGTTTCTGGGTATAGGAGTGATTGTTTGAGATATAGAGCAAAATATAGATAAATGACTGCAATAACAAGTACATAACTATTTTTCAGAAAAACGGAAAACGAGATGACAAAGGTGAGGTTAGACAGTCTCTGGTTCCGGAAGAAAATGTACAAATTGTGAATCTAATTGTAACTCATTTTCATTATTAACTAAAAGTAGATAGTACTCATAGGTGGGGCTGAAAGGCTGGAACTCGTCAAATATTAGAATTTTGGCACTTCTATTGCTTGATCTTTTCTCTTCTTCTTGCTCTGGCGAGATAATCCTATACTTTTCAAATATGTTCTCGCTCACTGAAAGTCTGTTTTCTGAATGGACTGTTCTTTTCAGGATTTGGATAAAAAATACTTAAGCTAGGAATTCACAGAGAATAATATAGGTTCTCTCAAGATTTCTCCAGAAGTTATTCCCAACACAGACCTTTTGCACAAAAAAAAAAGTTAAACTGCATTATGATATAGTTACCTTTACATGAAACACTGTGATGATAAACATGCAATGTGGTAATGACGCGATGGTTTACGAGCTACTTTCAGAATGTCTAAAGTCTAAATATGTCAAACGTCATCTGAAAGTTCATCCATGCATTATTTCCAGTTTATCTTTGATTGTACTACTAATGTGCTGATAGTATGCATCTGTTTCATTTTGACAGTTATTTGGAGGAAGTCCTTCAGGGTAAGCTTTCAAGATACATGTTCATACTTTTTCCAGTTTTCTCGTTATATTTTTGATGTTCAAACCTCAAACTGTTGAGTGACTGTACGTCTTTTCCGTATTTCACATGAATGTAGGGAGCTTAGCAAGAATGCATTGAAAAACAAGAAAAAACGGGAGAAGAAAAAGCAAGCTGAGGCTGCATCTGCAGCCGGAGGTTCATGATCAGAAGTTTGATTTGGTTTAAAATTATCGAAAATATGAGGTAGTACATTACATAAAGCAAATTTTTGATTCATATATTCTTTTTAAAATATAGTTTTCAGCCCCTGTACTAGAGCTGAAACAAAAATTTACCTTTCGAGTCTAACCCTGGTGCTGGATCAATGGATCTGTTTGAGCTGCTCTGACAGAAGGCAAGTTTTTTTTTTTTGGTTGTGTTACTACAAATCTTGTTACCTCAACTCGACTCGTCTCCATTGTATCAATACTGTAACATACAAATGATCATCTAGACATGCCTGACAAAAAATTATGTGCACACTGACGCAAGGGAATATATTGAAACATTAAACGTATCCCAAACATACAACAAAAAATAATAAGAAAACAATCAGGAAATTAACAATATAATTCGATGCGCGTAGATACGATATGATAAAAATTGAGTAGTGAGGATTATGAGATAACCAACGTCTCAACATAGTCAAGCACTCAGAAGGAGTCCATTCTGGAGCAGTATGGCCTGCTCCCTGCAATCAGAGGGAACCAAATTAATGTTTTCTAGATTATTTGTGGAAACTAGGGAATTTAGTGGCGGAGTTAAATAGGGTAGAGGGGATTCATTCGAAATTTCTTTGGAGGAAAATTATATTGTTTATATATGATTAAAATAAGTATATTTTATCTCTGTGTTGCTGACCCCATCCCTCTCCCCCCTTGACTTCTTCTACTGTTTACTTTTTTTGTGTTTTGAATTCCCTCATCTTAACTCCGCCATTGCTCGAGATGTGTTTGGTAAAAAAACATTTTTTTGTAAAATATTTTTCTCAAAAATAAGTAATATTCTTCCTTATTTTGTTGGAATTTGATAAGTAGGTAGAGAATATTGTTACAATAGCATATATATATAAATTGAAAAAAGGAAAAGGAACTTGTTTCTTTTAGAGAATATATTTTTTTAATCATTAAACACAAAAAAAATTTAGAAAAATATTTTCCTGCTACCAAACACACCAGAAATTATAGCGGATAATAAAAAATATGTAAAGAATTCTTGATTTCAGTGTAGCATATGTCATTTCATTGGAATTAAGGGCATCTTCAACCCTACACTCTATTTTATTCTCCAAATATAAAGTTCTCTATTTTTTCAGACAATCAACTCCAACCTAATTCTCTACTTTACTCTCCAAATATAAAGTTCTCTATTTTTTCAGACAACCAACTCCAACCCAATTCTCTATTTTACTTTCTAAAATAGAATATTTTTCCCTCTCCTTAATATTATATTATTATTTCTATTTCATTCTTATTTTCTTATTTCATAATATAAATAATTTATTTCTTTTAAAACTATGTTAAGGAATGATGCGTATCACCGTGGAACACTTATTGTGCTAACTAAAAGACTATATTTATTTTTATCAAGAACATTGTGCCTCCAACTATTTCTTGAGAAAAACAAGTACGAAGACGGTTCCGTTACATAATGTACATTGGTAGAAATATGTTTGAGTTTCTCTTGGAAATTAATATTTGAAGTTAACTATTGAATTGTACATTTGTTGTTACATTGATTTGTTCATGAATGATTTAATCGTTAGTTGAATTTTTAATTTTTAGTTAAGAGAATGCCCATATATATATATAATTATTTATTTTTAAATAAAAGTTCGGTTCTTCGGTGCATCGAAGTTTTGAGACCCTTACACTGAACACCGAACCAAAAAATTGAAGAACCGAATTAGTTCGGTTCGGTTCGGTTTTTCGGTTTTCCGGTATTTATGCCCACCTCCAATATCATGTAGAACTTCCTTTCTCCAAAAACGTGACGGTCCTGCAATAATTGCAAAACTCTGAATGAACGTTCAACATCTTTTCGACATGATTCTTGTTTCATCGCGAATTAATTATTATATTATGTATTGTATTTTATTTTGTATTTAAATTATTATGTTATGTATTGTATTGTTATCTTGTATTTAAATTAAAATTTTCATCTTACCATTTTAATTTTGTGTATTCTTTATAATGAAAATTAATAATAAAATAAAATTTTATTATTGATGAAAATTAGAAAAAAATTAAAAATGCTATTAATTTGAAATTAAAGTAGTATATATTAAATAATATATATTTTAAAATATTATATTAATTACATTTAAAAAGAATTATGAATATTAGATATTTAATTAATGAAATTATATGTAAAATAATATGTTAATTAGAAAGTAATGAAAATAATAATAAAATATTAAAAAAGTGAAATAGAGAGTGTGAATAGTAATTCTCCAAATTTGGATAACTGCTATTCAAATCTCTAAATTTGAAGAATAAAGACTAATTTGGAGGTGGGTTGGAGTGCCCATTCTCTATTTTACTCTCCAAATATAGAGAATGGAGAGTAAAATAGAGATGGATTGGAGATGGTCATAAGTTCTTGTATACCTATATAACAATTTACACAATAAATATAGGTATACTTAATCACATATACGATTGCTTATATCAAATCAATAAATATATGAAATTCTTTTTATATTTGTCATGTGATCAAGTGGATATGAGAGATCAAGATCACTTTTCTTGTTATTTCTTCAAAAAATTATATTTGTATACTAAATAATATTAAATGTAAAGTGTTTATATGCATTAATACTTCTTCAATTTTATTTAATTTTTAGTTAACATTTTAACTTAAATTATTCTAAAAGTAAACATAAATAAAAAAATTTGAATTTTCAGATTCCCGAAATTGGTTCTATTGTTCACAACTTCACATAAGAATACAAGAATTAGATGTCCTTTTTAAAAAAAGAAAAAAAAGAAGCACATACAAAGTTAAAACAAAAAAAAACATCATGAAAAATTATAAACAAAATAAGTCAGGCCTTTACAAAAATAACTTACTTTAGATATTCTTTACATAAATAGTTACTTTATCCGTCTCAATTTACGTGTCTTCCTTTTCATTTTTGGTTTGTCTCAAAAAAATTACGCTTTCTATATTTAGTATGTTTTTCAATTCCAATATTCTATATTGCAAATTTAAAAAAACAAAATTCAAAAACCTCCTTTTTTTCTTCTTAAACTTCATATCCACTCAAATAAATTAAAAGACTTAAATTAAGACTGACGAAATATAATTTTTGTATATCTAATTAGCGACTGTAATTATTTTTAATCGAACGATCAAATACGTGAAAAAACAAAAATTAATATACCTTTCGAACATGAAGAGCCTCTCGAACAACATTGTCGTTAGCCCAATAATCAGAAAGGTGCCACCATTCATCCTACAACAGTGGTATGTCTCAGTATAGCATAAATTAAGGGTGATAATTGAGCGCGTTGAGTTAAAACTAGTCAAATAATGGGTCATAACTCAATTCGTCTAATTTTTACTTGCTTTATTTATTCTTTTAAAAGATTTTAGTATCTAAAAAGATTATTATTGTTTATTATGGCTATTTATAAAATATCAAATTAAAAAAAATTAAAAATATTTTGACAAGATTTCTCATTAGTCAATTTTGGCTACATATCAACTCAATTTATTAATGGGCAAGTTTCAAATATATACAATAAAGTAATTAATTTACAATAATATAGTCATGTTATGAGGAAACTAAGCAAATACCCCATAAAAGCAAAATAATTACAAACATATACCCCACTAAATAATTACACTATATACTTCTCAACTAATTTCGCTTAACTGATACTAAATCAATATCATATACTATAGTGGTTTCATTAAGGCTGATAATTTTGACACTAAATCAGTCTCATATACTTTATTGGTATCATTAAGGCTTATATTAATTGATACTAAATTAGTATATATATATATACTAGACATCGGAGCCCGTGCTAGCACGGGCCCAATATGTATCATCTTTTGTTTCAATTTATGTGACAAAGACAAAATTAAAGAGTTAATCAAACTTTAATATTAATTTAAAATAGTTTAAATTTTTAATTATTGTTAACTATGGTAATTTTTTTTTAATGTCTTTTAACATTCTAAATTGCTAATTATTGTTTTATGATTTGTAATATCTTTTACGCAATTTTGAAATAATAAAGGTTATTTCTTCTTTCTCAATTTATGTGGTACTAATAAAATTTCGAGATTCAATCAATATTTTTTGTCTTTAAAATATTCTATTGTTAATTATTGTAAATTACTGTACTTTCTAAGCAATTTTCAAATAATATATATTATTTCATTTGTCCAATTTATATGTCACTGATAAAATTTGAAGAGTTAATAAGATGTTTTACATATTTTTATATCTTTGGAATATTTAAGTAAATAATTATTGTGATTTATAATATTTTATACAATTATTTAAAAAATTTAAACAACAAACAAAACGAATTCATCATAGGAAAATTACCAAAGCATCCTTGAATAGATCAATAATGGGTCTCACTTTTTGTTTAAAAAAATATGCATATTGGGAGGATATTTTTGTCCAAAGTGGAAATAGAATAAGTATAAAGCATTAAAGTCTTTTAAAATTTAAAATTGTTAATTCTTATTGTATGATTTGTAATACTTTTACGCCATTTTCAAATAATAGAGGTCATTTCTTCTTTCTCAATTTATGTAGTACTAAATTTTTTTTGAGATTCAATCAATTTTGTTTGTCTTTGAAATATTTCTAGTTGTTAATTACTGTAATTTATAGTACTTTCTAAGAAATTTTCAAATAGTATATAGTATTTCATTTGTCCCAATTTATGTGTCATCGATAAAATTTGAAGAGTCAATCAAATCTTTTATATATTTTTATATCTTTTAAATATTTAAGTAATTAATTATCGTGATTCATAATATTTTATACAATTATTTAGTATAGTAAAATAAATTTAAAAGAAACAAACAAAACGAATTCATCATAGGAAATTACCAAAGCATCCTTCAATACATCAATAATGGGTCCGCCTTTTTGTTTTTAAGAAATTGCACATTCGAAGGATATTTTTGTCCAAAGT